ATTGGTGTTGGCTGTATTGAGCAGGGAGAGACAGTTTTCTCCTGGCTGTGATGTGCTTGGGTGGCTGGTTGTGAAATGTTTGCTTTTACTCTGACTTTCAGGCCATCACTAGAGAATTTCAAACGTGAGTTTTGTTTCTCAGAGGTGGCAGCGTCTTTTACAGGTTGCCTTGTGAACAGTCTCTGGGGTGATTTTCCCAAAGTTTTTGTATTAACTTTGCTGATGAGCTGTTTCCAGGCCCCTCTCCAAGGTCTGTGCTTTGGCCTTTTCTTGCTCCTGTAGTTTTGACTTCTGCTTGAGAATCTGTGCTACCAAGCACCACATCATCTGTTTCTTCTCCTGCAAACTCTGATGTTGTTCTCCCTTTGTGATTCATTTCCCTCTTTTGAGCCTTTGGATGCCTGCAGTCATGGAAGGTGTCCCTGCCCACGGCAGAGGGTTGGGACTGGGTGATCTTTAAGGTCCCTTCCAACCCAACCCAGTCTGGGATTCCATGCCAGCTCCTGCAGTTGTGCACTGACAGTGTCACACAGGATCACTGAGGTTGCAAAAGCCCCCCAAAATCATTGAGTCCAACCTTTGATCAGTCCCCACCTTGTCCCCCAGCCCAGAGCACTGAGTGTCACATCCAGTCATTCCTTGGACACCTCCAGGGATGGGGACTCCACCACCTCCCTGGGAGCCCCTTCCAATGCCTGACCACTCTTTCCATGAAGAAATCCTTCCAGAAAGAATCAGTTGAGCAGGTTCTTGGCTGATGTTCTGAGCCGTAAAGTCAAGGAAGAAACCTTTCCCTAATTCTCTTGGTTGTTACATGTTTTTTTTTAAGGATTCCTCTCCCAATACCATCCTTGTAAAATGTGATGGCTCTAAGGCATTCAGTGCTTGTAGTGGGTGTGTTGGTGCACTTATTACACAGGAATTTCACTCTGGGGTTTTTTTTGTGTGTGGTTACATTTAACTGTCATTATTGCATGCTGAGGATTCCTGTTGTATCCTTGTGGATCTCCTCAGTCCACAGTCCACCCAGGACCAAACCTTAGAGGTTTAATATTAACTGCAGTGGTCTGAGCTTGTTAAGACACAGTAATGTTATGTGTCACTTTGTGGTCCCTTCTCCCAAAGGTAGTTGAGCAGTTGGCTGTCTTGTTTATTTGCTTGAAAACACAAAATTCCCAACATGACAGCTTGCTCCAAACCTCTCAAAAACTTGGAAAGCAGCAGGAAAAAGAGCCTCCATTTCCCTCTCAGAAATAAACACGATTCCTTTGATGTCTTCACTTGGCATCCAGGCTTCTGTATCACTTACATGTGAGCTTGGCAGCTTTTTCCTTACACCAAGAGATGATGTAAATCTCCTGGCACAGTTCTGGGAGGAATCTGGGTTCATGGGAACTTGGATTTTTAAAAGCAGTCAAATGTGCTGCAGCCAACATGTATGTGCTTACCAGAGCTGTTAACTGTGTTGACCTGGCATCCCTCATCTCCCAAGGCCACCCTGATGGGTACAGTACACAGAGAAGATAGATTTGGGGGTGAGATGAATTCCTGATTTAATCACTAATGAGAATATATGGGAGAATCTGAAGGGCAGATTTAATCATGACAAAACACCTGTGTGTGGGGAAAAATGTGCTGATCTGAATTACTCTGCTGTCACCCTGCCAGTGCTCCCCCTCCCTCAGATGCTCCCCTGGAATTCCAGCACTGTGCTGTCTCTGGGGCCGTGTTTCCCTGCGTGGATGATCCCTGTCCTGGAGCACTGGAATGCAGCCCTAGATTAGATGTGTGCTGCACAATACGAGGTTTAGTGCCCTCCTTCTGTCAGAGGAAGATAAATTCTGGTACTGCTCCCTTTTCTATGAATTCAGAGCAGCTTTTGGCTTCCTGAAAAGCCACCCTGCACACGGGCAGCGTGGGCAGCCACGGCCATGGAGCTGTGGAAGGCACGGCTGGGGTTTGGCTGCTGCTCAGGGAAATAAATCAAGGGGCTGAGGCTGGCAGCTCCAGCTGCAGGGGATGTGGCTTCAGCTCCTCCTTGGGCTCACTCTTGCCTGCAGTTGCTCCCACCTAACATGGAAGTGTGTGTGTGGCATTTCCCTGCCCTTCCCAGCCTCAGTGCATCTGCCAGGGAGCACCTGGGGAGGTGCAGCCCGAGCTGCTGCTGGGTCTGCTCCCTGTCAGAGGGATGTGACCTGGGCCCTGGAGCAGGCTGGGCTCTGGGATGACCCTGCTCAGGGTGCAGTGGGATGGTTTGGTTCCTTAGGGCCTCATCCTGCCGTGTGCTGGGCGCTGAGCAGAGGGTGGTTGGGCATTCCAGGGTAGAGCTGGTGGCAGGGCTGGGACAGCGACTGGCTCCCCTGCTCCAGCCTTGCTTCTGTGGCAGTTTAAGACCTAAAATGAAGTGAGAGTGGGGGAAGGCAGGGGCACCCACTGGCAGGAACTGGGAGCAGGTGAGTCAGCTGGACATCAGCCTCATCTCTGCTTCACAAATTTAGGGATGGAGGGACCCACTCGTGCAGTTACTCAGCACTCACAGGGTCTGCAGACCCACTGAGGGGTCTTGGGGAGGGCTGTGCAGCCAGGGCAGGGCACTGTGATCTTAGAGGTCTTTTCCAAAATTAGTGATCCCGTGATTCTGTGGTCCTGAAATGGTGCAGACCCCCATGGGGTGCAGGGTCCTCCAGCCAGCCTGGCTCACCCCGGCCTGGGTTTGTGCAGCTGGGCAGCCCCTGACTTCACAGCAGAACCAGACTGAGCCAGGGCCGTGCTCATCTCTAAGCCTGGTGCCACCTCCCCCCACTTCTCCCAGCACCTCAGGGTGGGTTGATTAACAACTGGGGCTTTGTAGCAGGAAAAAGATTGCCCTGCCCAGCCCTCTCCATCCTTCCCCGTTCCTGTTTTACCGGCTCTGCAGGTTTTCTGCTCACAGCCCTGTCCTTGCCAGGCTCTTGGCTCACCCTTGCTGGGAGAGGAGCAGCCAGGCCCTGCTCACCCACCATGGAGATGGGAAGGGACAGGAACTGAGGTTTGGGTCTCCCCCAAAAGCAGGGTGAGCTGAACCTGCTGAGTTCTGTTTTGTGGGAAGTCAGGCCAGGGGCAGAGTAAAGATGAGCAGCATCTTTGACTCTCCAGGGCTTCAAGTGCAAGGGTGTAGAGTTGCGTGGGGAGTCTGGTCTTAGGTGAGTCTGTGCCTTGTTCTGGCCCTGGCTGAGAGAAGAAGCTGTGGGAATGGCCGTGCTGGCACCCCTGGGAGCAGATGTGTCCCCAGCAGTGATGTGTGAGGAGAGGGTGGTTGTGGTTCTGTTTCTGATGGCCATAACTGCTTCATGTGGTTCAGGTGGGGACTACCAACTCTGTGCTCACAGTGTGGCTTCTCTTTCAGGCTCACAGGAGATTCACATCGATGAGAGAACCCTCAGCCCCCACCTCAGCCTGTCGGAGGACAAGAGAACACTGACCTTCAGTCCCAAGAAAGCCAAGGTGGACTTGGACTGCCCGGAGCGGTTTGACCACTGGCCCAACGCCTTGGCTACTGCAGCTTTCCACTCTGGGCTGTGTGCCTGGAAGGTGGGCGTGGAGCAGAGCTGTGCCTACAAGCTGGGGGTTTGCTACAGCTCCGTGCCCAGGAAGGGCTCTGCCAACGAGGGCCGCCTGGGATTCAACACCGCCTCCTGGGTGTTCTCGCGCTACGACCGGGAATTCCGGTTCCTGCACGCGGGGCAGCCCCAGCCCGTGGAGCTCATCAAGGCCCCGGCCCAGATTGGGGTGCTGGTTGACTTTGCGGGGGGAGAGGTGCTTTTCTTCGACCCCGACTCCTGCACCATCCTCTTCTCCCACAGGGAGACCTTCACAGAGCCCGTCTACCCCGTGTTCGCCGTGGCACACCAGAGCATCTCACTGGTCCAGTGAGCAGGGCCTGAGTGTGACTGTGTGTGCTCTGCACTGTGCCCTGGGGGGAAAGGAGCCCAGGCAGGGCTATGGGCTGTGTACAGTGTTCAGACAACACTTGCTTTCACACTACAGCTGTTCTTCACGTGTTTTACAGCAGCTCTCCTGTCCTGTGTCTGCCGTGCTGGGGCGAGGGGTCAGGGAATGCCTGGCTGGGCCAACTGCTCTTAGGTGGATTGTTTAATTTTTGCCTGACCAAGGGCAGCTTTCCAGCCTGGCGGGAGGCTGTGAAAAATGGGACAAATAGTAAAAGGTGTGTATGGAGAGATGGCAGGGAGGAGGCATGTGGAAAGGGAAATAACAGCTCTACAACTCCCTGACAGGAGGGTGGAGCCAGGTGGGCCTTGGTCTATTCTCCCAGGTAACAAGTGACAGGACAAGAGGAAACAGCATCAAGTTACTCTGGGAGGGTTCGGGTTGGGTATTAGGGAAAATTTCTTCACCGAAAGGGTGGTCAGGCATTGACATAGCTGCCCAGGACAGTGGTGGAGTCACCAGCCCTGGAGGGGCTTGAAAGGGGTGTGGATGTGGCACTTGGGGACATGGGTAAGTGGTGGCCTGGGTAGTGCTGGAGGAATGGTTGGACTTGATCCTAAAGGTCTTTTCCAACCTAAATGATTTTGTTAGTCTCTGACTGGGACCCAGCTGGAGACACACTTTTGGGAGGAGCTGCCCCATTGCAGAGCAGGACAGTGCAGGGAGTTGTCCCCTCCTGGGACAGGGGCACCCCTGAGGGGCTGTGGCTGGTGTCCAAGCAGGGGAGCAAGCAAAGAGCAGCAGAAAGAAACGAAACCTGAGTGTCACCAAAGGGAGTGGGGGTTGAGTTTAACATGGTGCAAACACAGGGAGCTGATGGAAGGCAGGGAGGAAGGAGAGGTATTGGCCTGGGAGAGGAGTTGAGCCAGGGAGCAGGGCAAGGGGTTTAAAATTTTATTATCTTTATAATTTTTATTTCTCACTGCCCAAATCAGTGAAGTTTGTTAACTGTCAATTTGTTAAGTGAAGTTGCCCAACTCCAGACTGTTCAGTCTACAGAGGGAGACCTGCAGCCACCTCCTGGCCACTCCTGTTGGGAAGAGGGGGATGCAAGGCTGGGGTACACTGAGGTGTGCAGGGCCTGTGCAGGGGTGTCCCAAGTGCTCTGTTTGGGCAGACCTTCCCTGGGATGGGGAGCCTGAGTGTTCTCTTGGAGACCTTCCCTGGGACTGAACCTGCACTTGCACTGGGGGATTCTTGATCCTCTCCCCAGGGTGACTGAGAAGGGATAAACCCCAATGTCTGCCTCCATCTCACCTGCCAGAACGAACCTCTGGAGCTTGACCCATTCCCACCCCCGTTAGGGAAAGACAGCACTGCTGACACCACCCCCTTCTGGAGTGTTTTTAGAGCCGTGAAACAAAGCAGCAGCACCACTGGCTGTCAGATATGTTTTATTGCAGGAACACCCCTCCTGCTGCTCCCTGTGCTTGATCCGCTCGCTGCTGTTCCCTGCCCCCCTGGCAGCAGGGAATCCCACACCGGGACCAGTTCAGCACCCGGCAGCAGCGCTGGGCTCCTCCAAACCGCAGCTACCCCTTCTCGATCCGGGCCAGGAGGTGGCTGAGGGTGGGCAGGACGTGCTCGGGGGGCACCTCGGGCTCCGGGCTGTGCCCGGCCGTGTGGAGCAGGAAGCTGTGCATGCCCACGGCCCGGGCTGCCCGGTAATCCCGGGTGTAATCATCCCCAACGTGAGCCGCCTGCTGCGGGGGGACGCCCCCGAGCCGCAGGGCCTCCTCGAAGATCCTCCTGTTGGGCTTGGCGGCCCCCGCGGCCTCGGAGGTGAGCACGAACTCGAAGTGGTGCCGCAGGTTGCACTGCGAGAGGATGTTTTCCAGCCGGTTGTCGAAGTTGGACACGACGCCCATGCGGAAGCCGCGCTGGCGGCACCGGCTCAGGGTCTCCTCGGCCCCGGGCAGCAGCTCCCAGTTGTGGGAGCTGCAGTAGTCGCGGTAGAGCTTCTCTGCCAGCGCCGTCAGGGCTGCACCGTCCTGCACCCCCGAGAGCACGAAGGCCTGTTTGACCACGTCCACCCACCACTGCCGGGAGCTGAGCCCCTGCCCCCGGCCGTAGTTGGGGAAGCGGCGGCTCTGGGCCCCGTAGGCCTCCCGGAACGCCCGTCCCAGAGCCTCCGGCTGCACCTGCAGCCCCTGCGCCCGCGCCTCGGCCGCGTAGCTCTGCCCCACGGGCCGCCGCAGCCGCAGCAGAGTGTCCTTCACATCCCAGGTCAGCAGGCGCAGCCTGAGCATGGCCTCGGGTACAAGGGCAGCCAGGGACACAGGTGAGAGGCAGGCGCTCCGAGAGCGAGTCAGTGCCGGTCACATCGGAGGGGTGCGGGCACCCCGGCCCTCCGTCCGCTTCAGTCCCGGGGTCAGTGTCCCTCGTGGGGGGCTCAGGGCCCCGCTGGGGTCCGCACGGACACACGGCAGGGACGGAGAACCCTGCTGCGAGCGCCAGGGGCGAAGTCCGCCAGGCCGGGCAGCGACACTCCCCCCGCGGGCGGGGGCACCGGGGCTGGGGGGACGGGGCACACCCGGCACCGCACCGGGGTGTGCGGGGCACGCCGGGCCGGGCCCGGGGAGGGTGCACGGGGTGTCCCCGTGGAAGGGGGTGCAGGGTGCCGGTGTCTCCCGGGGGGTGCGGGGCGGGCCCGGGGCTCACCGGGCTCCGGGGGCTGGGAGTGCTCGCGGGACCGGGGCCCACCTGCACCGCCCCCGGAAATCCCGCCCATCCCGGAATTCCCGCCCATCCCAGAATTCCCGCCCATCCCGGCACTCCCGCCCATCCCAGAATTCCCGCCCATCCCGGCACTCCCGCCCCGCGGCAGCAGCCCCGCGCTCAGGCCCGTCCCGCCGCCTCCTCCCGCAGCCAGCGCAGCAGCTGCGGCGCGAAGTAGGTGATGATGATGTCGGCACCTGCGGAGAGACGAGAGGCTGCAGCCGGCCCGGGGACAGGCGGGGGACGCGCGGGGGGCACGGGGGGCGCAGCCTCACCTGCCCGCCTGAAGGCCGTCATCGCCTCCCGCACCGCCGCCTCCAGCCCGAAGGCTCCCGCCTGCGCCCCGTGCCACAGCATAGCGAACTCCCCTGAGACGTGGTACACGGCCAGCGGGTGCGTGGGGTGCTGCGGGGACACGGTCAGCCCGCACATCAAACGTGCAGCCACAGCCCCCCAGTCCCTCCCCGGTGCCCTCCCTGCCAGGCAGGAGCTCACCCGAGCCTTGACATCCCGCACGAGGTCCAGGTAGGGCATCCCCGGCTTCACCATCAGCATGTCCGCTCCCTCCCGCACATCCCGGTCCTGCCACGGGAACACGGCACACGGGGGACAAGGACAGAGTTTCCAGCGAGGCCCAGGCTGGTTTTCCAGGATCGTCTGCTGAGCCCCTCCCGGCCACAGGAGCCCAGCTGTGGGCTGACACTCCCCTCACACACACAGTGCCTGGGCAACGCTGGTGGCTGCGTGTCCCTGGATCTGATGTCCCATTACAGGGGCACCAACTCCGCAGCTCCCACTGCCCAGTCCTCAAGCACACACTGGGACCAGCTCTGGCAGGCTGATGGACCTCCTGTTTCGTTTATCTCATGGAAAGGGAAGACCCTTGACCCTTTTGGCTGGTTTGCCTCCCATCCCCTTTTGACTTTCTTGCTCTCCCCAAGCCCTGGGGTGATCACCTGGGCCCCACTGAGGGTGTCCAGCCCCACAGCCATAACCCCACGTGCCCCACTGGGGGTGTCCAGCCCCACAGCCGTGACCCCCCGTGCCCCACTGAGGGTGTCCAGCCCCACAGCCATAACCCCACGTTCCCCACTGAAGGTGTCCAGCCCCACAGCCGTAACCCCCCGTGCCCCACTGGGGGTGTCCAGCCCCACAGCCGTGACCCCCCGTGCCCCCCACACTCACCACGGCGCGCTGGGCCAGGCCCCGGGCGCCGGGGGGCAGCTGGTAACACCTCCGGTCACCGAAGGCGGGTTTGGAGAGTGCAGCATCCCTGGAGAGGGGCAGGGCAGGGGGCAGGGAGTGAGGACCCCTGTGGCTCCCACCTCGTACAGCTTCAGGAACGGGAGGCCAGACAAGGTCAAGTGTCTGAGCCACTGAGTCAGGAAAATGGGGCACTCCTGAGCCACCTCAGCACCCCAGGATGGCTCTGGGAGGTCCTACAGGCCCAGGCTGGCCCTGAGAGCTGTTTCAACAGCCACTGCCCTCCCCATGCCCAGAGTCTGGGTAAAATCATGTCAGACTTTTCCAAGGCAGGTTCCTCAGGGATACCCTGCCAGGGTCAGGCTGTTCTTGGGACAAGGTCCAACAGCTGACTAAGCTGAAGCCTGTCCCTGAAGCCACCCTTTGGGACAACACTGGCTCCTGTGACTCCCTCCCTGTTCCTGGACATTGCAGGTGGCTCCCTCTCTGCCTGCCTTGCCAGCAGCACTGAGGAGGAGCAGGTGAAGAGGTAAAGGATGGAAGATGGGCAAGGTACAATTGTCTCCTTTTTGCACGGAGGAGTAGGAGGAAGGTGCTGCAAAGTGACCAGTGTGGCCCCACCTGCAGCCTAGGCTCTGGCTGAGCCCCCTTCCCAAATAACTGTCTGGGAACACACTCCCAGCCATCCTGGCACCGGCTGGGCACACCTGGCTGAGGGACAGACCCACCTGAAGGGTCCATAGAAGCAGGAAGCAAACTTGGCACTGTAGCTCATCACGGAGACCTGCGGAGCAGAGCAGGGCCATGAGGGCCGGGAGCTTGGAGCCACAGCCACAGAGATTCCCTGCCATGGCTGTTTTATCCTCCCCCTCCCAGAGGCCTGGCACCTGCTGTTCCCATGGACATTCCTGTAGTGCTGCAGCTCCCTCCCCATGGCTGTGGCTCCTGCCCCCGGCACACACAGGTGCCCAGCTCACCTTGTTGCCCAGGTCGTTGGAGATCAGTGCCTGCTTTATGGCCCCGATGCGCCCGTCCATCATGTCCGAGGGGGCCACGATGTGGCAGCCTGCAGGGAAGGACAGGGATGCAGGGAAGGACAGGGATGCAGGGAAGGACAGGGATGCACGGAAGCACCTGAGGCTTTGGCTCTGCCAAAAGGTTCTGGTGCCAGCAGTGCTGCTGGGACCAGGGCAGGGAGGGCAGGGGAACAGTCCCAGTTAGAATCAGGCCCAATTTGCTTTTGGGTCTGCTCAGAGGACCAGGGCAGTGATTCTGCCCCTGTACTCAGCACTGGTGAGGCCACACCTCAAGTGCTGTGCCCAGTTGTGGCCCCTCAGCTCAGGAAGGACATGGAGGGGCTGGAGCAGGTCCAGAGAAGAGCAACGAGGCTGGGGAAGGGTCTGGAGCACAAGTGCTGTGAGGAGAGGCTGAGGGAGCTGGGGGGGCTCAGCCTGGACAGGAGGAGGCTCAGGGGAGACCTTCTCACTCTCTGCAACTCCCTGACAGGAGGGGGGAGCCGGGGGGGGTCGGGCTCTGCTGCCAGGAACCAGCAGCAGGACAAGAGGGCACAGCCTTGAGCTGCCCCAGGGGAGGTTTAGGTTGGCCATTGGGCAGAAGTTGTTTGCAGAGAGAGGGATCAGCCCTTGGAATGGGCTGCCCAGGGAGGGGGTGGAGTCCCCGTCCCTGGAGGGGTTTGAGCAGAGCCTGGATGTGGCATCAGTGCCATGGTCTGGGTGACAAGGTGGGGTTGGGTCACGGGTTGGACTTGATGATCTCAGAGGTCTTTTCCAGTCTCGATTGTGTGCGTGAAGTGAGAGAGGTGCAAGCAGAGTCCAGCTGGGCTGTCACTGCCAGGGGCTCCCACCTGCTTTGGCGTAGGCCAGTGCCACCTCTGCCAGCCGCTGGCAGCTGAGCTCGTTCTGGATGGTGCCGTCCTCTCGCAGGATACCTGGAGACAAACCCGGGGTTACACCAGGGCAGGGACAGCAGGTGCCTCAGTCCCCAGCGGGGAGTGTGGCTCTGGGGACAAGCTGTGGAGATGCTCAGAGCAGCAGTGAGGAATGTGTTGAGGGAGGTGGATAAGGAGCCCTGCAGGGCCTGGAGGTCTGGGTGCTCCAGGGAAGGGAAGACAGAGGTGGGGCTCAGACAGACTCAGATGGCCACAGTGAGGGCCTGAACCACCCGTGCCTCCCACCCTGCTGTCAAAACCCGGGAGAGGCCTCCCAGCTTCCTACACTAGTAATGAGAGGCCAGATCTTGGGGCAGGAGCTGGCCAGAACCCACAGCACATGGAGCCCCTCAGCAGAAAAGGGCAAATCCCTGGAGACTCCCCAGCCAGGAAAACACCAGGAGTGCAGCCCAGGCCCCCGGGCCGTGCTCACCACAGTGCCCATGTGAGGTGTAAGGGCACAAGCAAACATCACAGGCAATGAGCAGCTCTGGGAAGGTGGAGCGGATCCTCCTGATGGCCTGGATGGCAGGAGTGCCCTCGGCATCGGCAGCAGAGCCTCTCTCATCCTGTGGGAACACAAACACCTCAGCACACACAGCCCACACTTCCCCCCGGCTCCTCCGTGGCAGCAGCTCTGCCCAGGAAACAGCTCCTGGACTGTGGGACCCTCCAAGGCAGGATGGTGTGACCACCACCGAGGGAAAAGGGTGATGGAGAAGCCCTTCTGGGCAGTGAGTGCAGGTCCTGGGGCCACCTGCAGAGCTCTGGGGGCTTTTTTGGGTGTCACTGCAGTCTCCCATCCCCATGTGCTCTGCTGAGTGGGCTGTAAGTTCAGCCCCACACTGCTCTCCCACACCCCCGTGGCTGCCCCAAGCCCCCCTCACCACTGGGCACTGACCTTGTGGACCTTGCTGGGCACCCCAAAGATGAGCACACACTTCAGGCCGTCTTGGATGAGGGGCTGCAGCATCCCCTCGAGCTTGTTCACTCCATACCTGAGCAGGGCAAAGGGAAGGGAGCTGCCAGGCACCCACACCTGCTCCTGGGAAGAGCTGCCTGTGACTGGGATGCTGCCCTGTGAGCAATCCAGCATCACCAGGCAGCAGCTGGAGGTACAGGGGAGGTGTTGCCTGAACACTGGGAGGAACAATCTGGGCTCTTATCTGGGGCTGCAGAAGCATTATCTGCCCTGCATGGACACTGCTCTATAAGGAGAAGCGTGCCCTGCCCTTGGATTCCTTATCTTGGCCTCCCTGTTGCAGATCCAGCCCACCTCCCCACCAGCCCACCCCCCTGGGCCTCTCTGACCAGAGCCCTGCTAATGTGGCAGCAGATGGAGACAGGAGCTGCCAGTCCAGCAGGATCCAGTGCAGGACCACAGCCCACATCCTTGCACGGGTTTTGTGGCTGCTGCTGGAAACCCCATTTGCTTCCAGCCCACACAACGTGTGAGTGCTCTGGGACAGCCTGAGACCCTGGTGCTGCCCTCCCAGTACTGCTACTTCCCCAGCATTCCCAGCATGATTCCCTCCACTCCCTTAGTGGATGAATGTCCCTGCCCTGCCCGATCCCAGGGAATCCCCAGGGCAGGGACCAGAGTGTTGGAAGCATCACCCCTGGCTCATGCTC